AGGCTTTTGATGACTGCTTCTATTTCATTAGGGATTATAGGTCAATTTAAACTGCTTATCTGTTCTTGGTTTAATTTTGGTAAGTGATATCTATCCAGGAAACTGTCCATTTCCTTTAGATTTTTGAATTTTGTGGAGTACAGGCTTTAAAATAATGATCTGATGATTATCTGGATTTCCTCAGTGTCCGTTGTTATATCCCCCTTTTCGTTTCTGATTTTGTTAATTAGCATGCTCTCTCTCTGCGTTTTGGTTAGTTTGGATATAGGTTTGTCTATCTTATTGATCTTCTCAAAGAACCAACTCTTTGTTTTATTGATTCTTTGTAATGTTTTCCTAGTTTCTGCTTTATTGATTTCAGCCCTCAGTTTGATTATTTCCTGGCATCTACTTCTCTGTGGTGAGTTTGCTTCTTTTTGTTCTAAAGCTTTCAGTTGTTCTGTCAATTCTCTAATGTGACTGTTCTCCAGTTTCTTCATATGAGCACTTAGTCCTATGAACTTTCCTCTTAGCACTGCTTTCAAAGTGTCCCATAAGTTTGCGTATGTTGTGTCTACATTCTCATTAAATTCTAGGAAGTCTTTTAATTTCTTTTTTATTTCTTCCTCAACCCAGAAATGGTGTAATTGGGTGTTACTCAATTTCCATGAGTTTGTAGGTTTTCTGCCATTCGTATTGCTGTTGAATTCTAGCTTTAAAGCATGGTGATCTGATAAGATACAGGGGTTATTGCAATTCTTTTGTATCTGTAGAGGTTTGCTTTGTTGCCAACTATGTGGTCAATTTTAGAGAAGGTGCCATGTGGTGCTGAGAAGAAAGTATATTCTTATGTGTTTGGATGGAATGTTCTATAGATATCTGTTGAACTCAGTTGGGTCATACATAACTTCTGTCAGATCTTTTGTTTCTTTGTTAAGTTTCTGTCTGGTGGTCCTGTCTAGTGGTGTAAGGGGGGGGGTGTTGAAGTCTCCTACTATAAGTGTGTGTGGTTTTATGTGTGGTTTGAGATTCAGTAATGTTTCTTTTACAAATGTGGGTGCCTTTGTATTTGGGGCATAGATGTTCAGGATTGAGACTTCATCTTGATTAACTTTTCCTGTGACGAGTATGAAATGTCCTTCTTCATCTCTTTTGATTGATTTTAATTTGAAGTCTAATTTGTTAGATATTAGGAGTGCTACACCAGCTTGTTTCTTGGGCCCATTTGATTGGAAAATCTTTTCCCAAACCTTTACTCTGAGGTAATGCCTGTCTTTGAAGTTGAGGTGTGTTTCTTGTATACAGCAGAAGGATGGATTCTGTCTTCGTATCCATTCTGTTAGCCTGTATCTTTTTGTGGACAGGTTGAGACCATTGACATTGAGGGATATTAATGTTCATTGATTGTTTGTTCTTGTTTGTTTTGGATTTATTGTTGGTGGTGTCATTGTGTGTGTGTTTCACCCTTCTGTTTCTTTTCGTGTTTGGTAAAATTGGATTATCTATTGCCTGTGTTTTTGTGAGTGTAGTTATTTTCGTTGGGTTGAAGTTTTCCTTCTAGAACTTTCTGTAGTGCTGGATTTGTGGATATGTATTGTTTAAGTCTGGTTTTGTCATGGAATATCTTATTTTCTCCATTTATTGGGTACAGTAGTCTGGGTTG